TCAGACGATCCAAAACCGTCTGTGGGTCTGGATTTGAAGAACCTTTTGTTTGAAGACACCCCAGGCGGCTCCTAGCCGTATGAGGGTCTATGAAATGAGTTTTTGATAGTCAATTGTTTGAAGATGATCCGGGCGGAATTTTTCCGGTTGAGGGTCTATTGAATGCAAAATATTCAAGACTTGTCTGAAGATTCCCCAGACGGCATGTAACCGTCTGTGGGTCTTTTGAATGCAATTCCTTGAAGACCATTGATTGGAGATGCCACAGGCGGTATTTCACCGTCTGTGGGCCTATGGAATGCATTATTGAAAGCCAAGGTTTGAAGATACCCCAGACGGTCCAAACCGTTTGTGGGTCTATCATTTGAAGACCAAAGTTTGAAGATGTCACAGGCGGAACATTTCCGGCTGAGGACTTAAAAAAGAAAAGGTGGGGGGGGGGAAGAAAATGAAGACTATTGTCTGAAGATGCCCCAGACGGCATGTAACCGTCTGTGGGTCTTTTGAGTGCAACTCCTTGAAGGCCAGTCTAAAGATGCACAGGCGGTATTTCACCATCTGTGGGCCTATGGGATGCATTCATTAGAAAGTCCATTGTTTGGAGATACTTTAGACGGTCAGGACTGTCTGAGGGTCTATTTTTGAAGATCATGATTTAAAGTTTCCCCAGACAGTTAAAACCGTCTGTAGGTCTACCAAATGCAAGGCATGAAAGGGCTTAAGGTGCCCAGACGGTTTAAGACCGTCTATAGTTCTACTCGAATCAAAAATAAATCAAGAGCTAGATAGTACCTGGGTGAGTTGGTTGAAGAAGCACTCAACCGGTATCCGGATGTTTTCAAGCAAGGGAGCAGGGTGCACAATTAAGCAGCCGGTGTCAGAGCTCTCAAGAGAATTTTTTGCAAAATGAGTAAAGTGAAGAGGAAAGAGGGGGTGCGCCTCTATTTATAGGCAAGCCCATAAGGCGAATCGCCACCTTCTTCTTCAAATTTTCAAAATTTAAATCCAAGAAAGAGAGGCGGGAAGCAACTCAATCGTCGCCTACCCTGTGCTTGACACCTGTCACAGGTGACACGTGGCTACACCATGTCACACCTGTGAGGGGCAAATGTTTGGGGTAAAAATTACCCCTGCCACGTGGCCCAATAAGGGCCTGACACGTGTCACCCTCATACAGGCCCAAGGGGATCCTATCAGAGGATGCCACGTGGCGTTGAACCCCCAATGGGGGAGCAGATTCTCATCTGCTATAAATAGAGGAATCCTCCTCATTTATTGGATATTCATAAATACATATACAAAACCCGAGAAATATTAATTGCGGAATCTCTCTGAATCAGTGAGAAATACCTATTTACTTTCCGCACATTTACCCATCCGTAAATCATACTAACTTGATCGTCGGAGGCGGAACTCCACCCAACCAGCAGGTACAGAAGTCAGGCGCGCATACTCCGTATTGTAACTCTCCCGAGGGACTAAAAACACCTGAAACAGGAGGCGTCACTGCGGCATAATTAAGAAGGACTTGAAATCGAGTTGTATGAGATAGTGGAATTGGCGTTTGAGTGTAATGGGTTTGAATTCTGCTTGCCTTGGTCGAGATCTTATGCTGAGAACAGGTATGGTATGAGAATTCATCTGGCATAGTTGGAGTGGATGACGTGTCTGAGTAGTAGGACAAGGTCATCCGATCCTGCCGCTTTTGCCTCAAATAATCCCTGGTTTCCTTGAAGCATTGGGATGGCTCATTTGGCTGCCTAGTAGGCAGCCTGGTTAGCCCCCACCAAACTTCGATTTCTCAATGAGCTTCGACCAATTCGTCCGAGGCTCCCGTGGTGACCTCGGCAGCTTCTTGAAAGGAGTTGCACCAGCTTCCTCAGTGTTAACTATAAACACCTAAAAATGTCTCTCCAAATCCAAACCTAATGATGAACAACCTTTCATCATCGTTATTGGTCAGGTTGTGTATTTAATTTGCGGAGTGCTTAAAACCATAGCCTTATCCCAATACATTTCCATTTAATTCACCTAAACCAACCCAATTCCTAGCCCATTTCACTAAACCATAATCGCGATCCATTTTTCTCTTTACGTGATCACAATCCTAAAACGAGAAAAACTGATTTTATGGCCCTATAATTTTAATCCAAGTATTATTTTATTGGATAGGCCTTGAAATAAATTTTCCAATGATATATCACAAGCCCAATTCCGATTTAAAACGAAAAAGATATGACCAAAACAATAAAACTCGACCCAAAACCAACACCCTTGAACTAAAACGGCCATACTTTAAAATATACAAACGATTTTGAGCTAGTTCTATTTAGGTTAGAAAGCAAAATTAAAAAAAATTTCCAAATATATATTATATGCCTTTTTTCGGGGGTTTTTATGTGTCCTATGGGAGAGTTACGTCACCAAGACTAGATCCTCTTCGCCTGTACCTACAAGCAAACGGAAGCTCTGGTTGTACAGAGTTCCACCTCCGACGATCAAGTTAGTAAGATTCGAAGTTGAGTAAAATGCGAAAAGTAAAGTGAATCTTCTCGAATCTCGAGATCAGGCGATTTCTTTGTTGTAAGAGAATTGTGTTTTTTTTTGTAATAAATGAACATGCCACCAAAATGGGGTAAATGTCCCTATTTATAGGATGTTGGGAATCAGTGCCCATGTCCTAGGTTATCAACCTAGGTAATTGGGATGCGCCGTTTTTACGGCGCCTCGGGATTTGGGCCTTTGAAGGCCGCCATTGTTGATAGGGGATGCCATGTGTAAGCCACTTATTGGTCCCCTTAGGACCTCTCCTGGGGTGACACGTATAACCTTCTGATTAGGCCGCGTGGCCTGGGAATTTTTACCCAAATCATTTGCCCCTCACAGGGGTGACGTAGGGTGCCACATGGCACCTGTGATACTTGTCACTTAGGCATTAGTCAACGGTTTTTAACTGTTCAGCTTCTGGGGAAATTACAGGGATGCCCCTGAATTTACCCTTATATAAATAAAAGTTTACCCCACTCCCCACCCCCCCTCATTTTTAACATTTTCCAAAACATATAGAGAGAAAAGGTAGAGAGATTTTAAAGAAAGAAACTCTGATCACCGCCTGACATCACCGTCTGATACAATAGGTCAACGTCTATGAAATCTTTCTTTATATAAAACTTTTTGAGGTAACCGTCTCTCTCCCTACTCTTTTCTATCCTTTTATACCGTTTGTGCATATTGCTTTGAATAAATGGCTTCGCCAATAACACACACGGCACAGCCTAGTACAGTAGTCAGCCGGTCTCCGGGTACGACTAAGTCTAGGACTAGAGGTGCTGTCTCTGGTTGTTTGGACCATCCTTTTTCTTCCCTGAATCCAACCGTCTTTGTGTCTGTGCAGGACACTATGGCTCGGACTAAAATGACGGCGCCTAACCCAGAATATAGGGAAGACGGCACATTGGAGGTGCCGGTTGACGAGGTCTACGACCAACCCCTTAGTGCAACAAGCACCCCAAGTGACTCGATATTAGAGGAGTTCAAAGAGAGAAGCGGTTGGAAATTCGGCTCAGGGTCAGACTCTGAAGAGTCTAGTAGCTCGCTACAGTTGGCTACTGATAGTGAGGAGGATGAGACATCGTCCTGGCCTAAGTAGATGGATCCGCTTGGGGTTCACGTGTCTGCTAGAAATAGAGCGAATATGGAGACGAACTTAACCGCCTTCATAAGCAAGCGTCCCCGTGGGGAAAATTATGGAATTAGAGTGTCGCCTCAGGAGAGCACAATTGCCTTGGAGAACCGACACCCTTGCACTCAAACTGCCATATCTTTTGATCCACAACAGATTTTAACCTAACTTCAACGGCATTGGAATTTAGACATTCAGATATTTCCAATGATATCTTATTTTTGTTAATCCAACTTTGGAATCAAAAGTTATGGAAGTATTAAAAACGTGTTTTTGTATAAGGCAAACCGCACCGCGGCAACTCTCTAAGTTGTGCGCGGCACTCCAACGTGAATCCGAGAGTTGCGCTCACCACCTGACGTCGCGGCTCGAAAACCCTAAACTTAGATTCCTACGTCTATAAATAGGGGCCTTCGCTGAGACCTAAACACAACAGAAAAATCAGAATTAAAACCCTTGCATTGTGAAGTCTCTAATCTCTCAAACCTTCTTGCTATCATATTACTTTTCCCCTATCTTCCTATATACTCTCCAACCCTAATTGATTCCATTGAAGCGTTGGAGGTACGAAGAAGAAGGAAGGTCTATAAACATCCAAAACAAAGATCTAGCAAACAAAGGAGAATAGTTAGTTTCCTGAGCACTTATATAAATCACTTTTCTTTTCTTGTTCAAATAACTTTAATCAATTAAGTAGTGTTGTTTAATCACTTTAAACAAACTTTTAATTAAATAATTTCACATAGTATCTTGCGTTAATTATAGACTAGAATTGGAATAATTAATTGTTGTTTTATCACTTAAGTCAAGACAAATAATGTTTATTTCTTTTTCTTTTCACGAATTTAAATAACAAAGAATAATGACATTCGTTGCAATGTAATCTTTATGTGATTAATGCTTGTAAATAAAATCAACTAACTTAGTTTTAGGTATCACGTTGCATATATTGTTTGGTGCTAAAATTGTGAAAAGGGAAGAGCTAGTAGAGGCCACACTTGTGTTAGGATAACAATTCCCCCCTAAAGGGAACGTTACTTTAGCACCCTCACTCCCGACACTAATAGAAAAAATGCTATTTGTAACACCCTATTTGTAACCAAAAATTGTTTTTCAGTTACAAATACTATATTTGTAACCAACATTAGTTATGTTCGTTACAAATAGCTTAGTATTTGTAATGGACAATATTTTGTCAGTTACAAGATTTATATTTGTACCCAACATTAATTATGTATGTTACAAATGGGATATTTGTAACGGATATAACTAATGTTGGTTACAAATAAATCCTATTTTAATACCAATGTTTATACTTTTGGTTTTCCCACCTAAAAGTCTTAAACACACGCCCAACACCACCCATCTATCTTTAATTTTCGCGTTGATATTCTCATATACCAGTCATACCTATCTCCCCTTCGTTTTTCCCTCTCTTCATCCCATCCCTCTTCCTCCTGTTGCTAGTTAGGTCGCCGCCCGATCTTCTTCCACCCTCCTCTCTTCTTTTCCTCCCCTACCTTGAAGCATTAGTAAGGTTTTAAAGTCGCCGCTCACACAAAAGGGCCAAAACGACCACTTTCTAGCAGCTGGTCCCCAAATCTAGTGTCATCTCCTCTCCTCTTTGATTTCCGCTTAAAATTTTCGCAAATGTCATCTTTTACTACATTTGTATCGCTATTTTTTTAATTTCAATATTATTGTTGACAAATTTCGGATTTAGGGTTTATGTTATCCTAATTCAGAATTTCTGGTTGATTTCTAGAGTTCCAATTTTAAGATGGTGACGGTGGCTTGTGGATCGAGGTTGGATTTTTAGGGTTCTTGTTATGGTTGTTGCCGCTTGCGTTGCTGCGGTGAGGTGTTTTCTGTGGTGATGTTGTGGCTAAAGGTTTGCTATGTGAAGCTCTAAGATCGATCTCTACATCTCTTGTCAGGTAAACAGTTTTTTAAATTGATTTTTCAAGGAATTTTATCCCAATCTGCTTGTCAAATTTACTTGTATATTGTTTTTAATTTAATTTGGGTTTAATCTGTTTTGGTTTTCAAGATCTAGCTTATGTTATGAGGTTTTTTGTTTAAGTATCTTTTCTATGCTAATTTGGGGTTCCTTTGAAAATTTCATCTTTCGTTAGATTTGTGAAATAGCTAAAGATTCCAATGTCAAATTCACTTAAAGATTAGAAATTTTAGATTTAATAAAACGTTATCAAAATTATTATAACTGAAAATTGGGGATTATGGTTGAAGTAGCGTTTTAATTGCTTTTATTTGGATTGAATGAGCAGATTGAGTTGAGGTTACAATGTCACGCACAAGGAGGCGACCAAGGTGTACCTTGTGGGACTGTTTAAGGAAGGTAACTCACTAACTTGTGCGCCATTCATGCTAAGAGTTCACCATCATGCCTGAGGATATGCAGTATGTTTGATTTCCTTATTTGTCTTTCACTTTACACAGAGTATTATGACTTGATTGATTTTGGACACTGTTTTAGAAGCTTAAACCATTTTGTTTTGATATTGTTATTTTATAATCTTACATGGTCCAGATTTAGTAAGAATGATGATTCAACTAGCTGTGTGAAGAAACAAATACCTCATTTTTTTTACAGGGAAATAAATACCTCATTAACAGAGGCTTATTTATTTCTAACTTGCCAAGTTAGCCCCAAATCAGTCTTCTTTTTTTCGAAGGAAAGCCCCAAATCATAGTCTCATGTAGATTTTTTTTTTTTTTTTTTTTTTTTTTTTTTTTGGTAAGTTAGAAAACCTCTCATGTAGAATTAGTTTGTTTAATTTGGTTGTATGTCCTATACTTTAATTTACTAGTAATGTATGTATGTATATAATGGAATGGTATGCTTTTAGACTTGTTGGGAAACTGTAGATATGCTGATATGGGTGGTTATGATGGCAGAATGAGGATTATATTCAATATGTATCTTTTCGTGAGATCTATCTTAATATGATATCTCGACCAAAATAATACTTGGTCCTAACCTTGAGAAGTCTTTATTATGTATTGTATTGCCTTACTTTGTTTGATTTGAAGTACTTGTTTGATTTTTTTTGAAATGATGAATTAAATTTTTTTATTTTAATTTTGTATATCATGATGGGATTAAAGACAGAAAAAATTGTACTGGGTTTGCCACCGTTTGTGGAGTACACTCATCTACAATGATGTGACTATAAATTGATTATAGTCCTCTTGTGTTTTTTTTCCTAATGAGTAATCAATTTGTACACTCATAATTGACGTAGAGGATATTACTAACCTTTAGTGAACAAAATACCCTCTCCACCATTAGGCATAAGCCTTGATTATTACCACTTTATAGTCATTTTTTCGGGATTGTGCAGGAAAGCATGCAGCTATATGGCAGTTGTTGGATGTTGTATTGATCCAAATGTGGCCAACTATGATCAAACTACAGGGAGTGACGATGGGAGTTGTACCTGCACTTTGTAGATTTTTTTTTTTTAATACCGTAATTTGCTGCAACGAAATGAGATTAGAGGAAATAAATTTAGTTTGTATCTATTGGAAGGATTAATATTCTACTTGTATATTTACCTTATTTTTTATTTTTTGTTTGTTAGTCGGTGAATTGTCATTATTATTGGTTTGTAATAAAAGTATTATTGTGTTACATTTAAACATCTCAGCTAGCATTTGCTAGGTAATTTTTTTTTTAAATTTCGAAATTGAGTATTTGTGACGGACTATTGATATGTTAGTTACAAATAGGTACCTATTTGTAATTGACATATCAATTGTCCGTAACAAATATGTACCTATTTGTAACGAACATATTAAATGTCCGTTACAAATACATAACTATTTGTAACTGATAATTGAAATGTTAGTTACAACCCTAGTACTTGTAACGGGCAATGTTGGTTACAAATACCCTGTTTTTGTTAGTTACAAAAAGCACTTTTTCTACTAATGTGAACTCATTTCTGGTACAAGTAAACCAATTTGGGCATGGGTAAACTTATTTTTCATGCTAAATATCCTTGAATTCTACTTGGGAGAAAGGCATGAACGAGGTTTATGAGTTTTGCTAAAACTCATTGACGACTCCTTATTAGTTTCTTACAAAAAAACCGTAATGATAAAATCAATTCTAATTCAAAATCCCCTAAAAAATCAGGAATTCAAATCCTAACACACTTTCAAAAGTGTAAAGTCCTAGGCTTTTAAAGGGCCATGGGCATAGAGGAAGTGCGATCCCCAATGACGGACTACCCTCCTCACACCTACTGCTCAATGTTGACTTTGACTCGTTACGAGCAATGTTATACGGAGAGAACGATAATACTGTTTCAAGGTTAATCTTAAATAGTGTTAATAATATCTCTTTGGCTAACAATGTTGTCTAACTTAGTTGCTTTAATTTGTTCTTTTTTTTTTTTTCAAAAACATGTTTTTTTATCATTCTTTTATTTTGTTTTCGCAAAAAAATAAAATAAATAAATAAAAAATCCGCATGTGGCAGGCGATACTCTCAAAGTTTTTTTTTTTTTTTTTTTTTTTTTTTTTGGTAAGTAAGTAATTTTATTACCAAAAAGAAATAAATGTTACAACTTACAAAAAGGAAAGCTGTAACTCTCCAAAACTACAAAAGCCTTCAAAGAAGGCACACATCCACCTAACATTCCCTAGTCTTCAAAGAGGCCACCTTCTAGGAAGGGTGCCTCTAGAAGAGAAGGAAGCAAAACTGAAGCTAGCATCTGGCACCTTCTGGGAAGGGTACAGAAACAAGCAACAGTACTAACAACATAGCAACAATAGCTACAAACAAAAGAAGCTACAACCAGTAACCTATACAAATGAGTACTATACAAATTAAAATCAAAGTATTCGTAACCTATACAGCCATTTACAGTTCTTCCTCTGCCATTTGCAATTGATCATCTGCCTGCATCTCTTTACAATATCAGCCCGAATTATTCTGCACACAGCTCTAGGATGGATGACAACCTTTAGCCAAAAAGCCTTGTTCCTAGCAAACCATATCTGATAGACCACAACAGCTAGAGCAGCAAAGCAAACTTTCTTCTTGATAGGGTCCTGTATCCACTCTCCCCATTGTTTCCAGGAGACATCAATATCAAACATAGCTTCAGGTAGCTTCAACCATTCACTAATACCTCTAACACATCTTCTACTATACTCACAGTAAAAAAATAAGTGCTTCTTATCCTCAACAACATCACCACAGAGGAAACAGGAGCTATCCTGGCACACACCCCACTCAGTAAGCTTACTCTTTGTCCTTAACCTGTTCTGAATGGCTAACTAGAGAACAAAGGAGTGCTTCGGGATATTGTATTTGTTCCAGACCCAGGGAGTCCAATCCACCTCATTCTGAAAACCCTTTTTCAATCTTTCCTTAACCTTGCAAAGTTTCTTCCATGCCCACCCTGCATTCTTCTTAGGCTTAAAATCCAACTAATCACTATCCTTGATATACACTACATGAACCCATTTCACCCATAGTGAGTCCTCTTTTTTAGCTATCTTCCATATATATTTCCCAAGAGCTGATGTATTCCATGTCTCACAGTCTCTCATGCCAAGACCTCTAGCTTTCTTTGGCTTGTAATTCCAGTCCCATGAAATGGGAGGAGACTTCCTCAGCACTGTATCTCCACCCCAAAGGAAAGCTCTACAAATCTGAGTAATCCTCTTGATCACACCAGCTAGGAGCAGGACACACTGAGTCCAGTAAGTATGGAGGCTTAAAAGCACTGTGTTGACCATCAAGTTTCTAGCTGCATATGAAAAATTCCTACTTGACCAACAGGTTATCCTAGCCAGCATCTTGTCAATCAAACTGTCATAGTCACTGTTTGAAAGGCTTCTAACATTTAGGGGAATACCAAGGTACTTGAAAGGAGTGCAACCCTCAACAAAACCAGACACCCTCAAGATATCCTGTTTCACAGTCCTTGTAACATTTCCAAAATAAATGGCTGTCTTCTCAGCACTGAACTGTAAACCAGAACATTTCTCAAAGGTATTCAAAGCCCTTACTAAGAGAGAAACAAACTTCTATCTTCATAACAGAACAACATCAGATCATCAGCAAAGGCAAGATGGTTCAGATTGAGTATCTTGCACCTATAATGGAACTTGAAGCTCCTCATGCCTCCCACTTTCCTTAAAAGCCTTGAAAGATACTCCATGACTATTACAAAAAGAAGAGGGGACATGGGGTCACCTTTTCTAATGCCTTTCTTTCCCTTAAAGAACGCTACTCTCAAAGTTGCACTCTCCACCTTACCACAAGACGGAAAATTACGCGCTATAATATTTTCGATTATGATGATTCGTTTATGTACTTTTTAATTGAACTAATGACATTACCTCTTATACGGTTCGTCATTAGAAGTTCACATCCCTTAATAGGACGTCATCAATATTCCCATTCCTAAACATACCTATTTTCATGGTCATCATCTTTTAGTCGTTATTAATTAACCTTAATTTAATAGTAATTTATTTAACTCTTCTATGGTTTAAAAAAAGAAAATCCCGAGAACCTTACTTAGGATAATTGCCGCAAAAGAAAAAAAGAGATAAAAAATCGAGAAATCCTTCTAAAAAAAGAGTATGATACAAAAGAAAAACTCAAAAAATAAGAGAGAATAATGAATAATAAATCCGAGAAAATAATTCAATTATTTCTTGGATTTTACGTTCAGAGGCAACCATTCTATTTAAACTAATAGTATTTATTCTTTAAAGATGAGCAATATGATAATATTAAAATAAAATAAAATAAATAAAGATCTCTATTGAAATCTAAATGATCAAAAATACCACATTCTAGTATATCGATCATTTTAAAGAGTTTATTTGGGTTGATTAATATTTCTAAACATTTTATGAGCGTTTTCAATCCAACTTTCCTTTTCTTTCTCTTCTACCTTTTTCGAAAACAGTTCACTTAAAGTAAAATCCTTAGATGATTATCTTGTTGAATTTAACACAAATCATGACATTCCATTAATGATTGTTCGTGAATTTTTTGACATTCTTCATCAACAAACTTGCTTAAAGTGAATTCGTATTTAAAGGATTTAGAAAACAACATTTTTTTACTTTTGTTCATTGTTTGAATGGTTGACAGAAAAGGTTTTAAGTTAACGCGCTCAATTTCTTGTGATACACATTACTAGGTCATATTCCACATTCGCATCCTACTCCAATCATGGGTGAAAAAGCAGCATCGGAGTGACTTAAAGTGAACTCCAAAACTTAAAGGCCCTATGAGAAGAAGAAGCCCAAATGAAGGCTCATAAAAAAGCAGAAAAGGCTAAAATAAAGGCGGAAAAAGAAAAAGAAAAAATTCTGCAAGAAAAAATAAGAGCTGAAAGACAAAAGGCCTTGGAGAAACTTTTCCTTCGCGCTAGCTCATGGACTAAGTTCTTCAACTATGAGCTTGCACCACAACCTAGTGGCAAGACTTGTAGGGTTTCGTAGTGACCCGACACTACGCGAAAGGAAACCCACCAAGACCCGCTCCTTAATTAAAACAATTAACAAGCATATAAAACTTAATCAAACAAGATTAAGAACAATAATTATACCTTTGACGCGTGCTTCGCTCCCAAAGAGCTCTTACTTCAAAATCCCGAAAACACGAGATCTCCGACGAATCGTACCCTCGACCCGACCCGAGCGTCCTAAGTCTTGAAGGTTAGTCAAGACCCGGACAAAATAACTATGAGTTTTACGAATCAAAGGTTTACTCTTTCTTAGAGTTGCCTTTTTAATTCCACTCAAGGTTGTATTCTCAAAATCCCAACCAAGTGGGTATTTATAGAGAATGGGGACTTGAAACCCCTTTTCATGATCAATGTGGGATCATGTGCAATTGCAATAATTTATTTAATTCCAAAATAAATAATTAGGCAAAAGCAATCACAAGGCAACAAGTGGCAAGAGGAGAGAATGGGTTAGGTGAGGACCATATCCCATGGGGGGACCATTGCCTTGCTCCCCAAGGGAAGCCTAGAGGCTTTGGTCCCCACCTCTCCTAAACGACCACTCACAAGGCAGCTGGGCTGGCTGCCACCTGGTACTTCCAGCACGCCCAGCCAGCTAGCACCAGGCTGCCTAGCAGCTCCCTCGCATGCATGGTGCGTGCTGGCGCTGGTGCTGGTGCGTGCCAGTGCTAGACGCTGGTGCGTGCTGGCCCTCGCATCCCACGCATCATTGATGCACCCTTCGCACATGCTCGCACACCCAGCCAGCTAGCATCACTCGCCCATGCTCGCACAACTATGCGCATCTAGGCCAACACGCACTAGCGTTGTGCTTGGTGTGTGGCCTGCGATGGTGCGTAGCACACACACAAGGCCAGTGCTGCCTGCCAGCTTGCTGCACTATGGTGCAAACGCACACGCACACACGCATGTGCCTAGCACTGCGATGGTGTTGTGCGTGGTGCTAGGGGGCTGCGATAGTGCCCATGCTGATGCACACACACATGGGTGTTGTGCTTGGTGCGATAGGGCTGCGATGGTGCCTAGCATCATGCTAGGACTGCGATAGCGCCTAGGCATGATGCTAGGGTTGTGATAGTGCCTAGCACACCATGGTGCGCCTAGCACACCATGGTGCGCCTAGCACACACATGGTGCGCCTAGGCTTGCGATGAGCTAGCCTA